AATGGATCCCATCCCATGTGAGTGACTGCATTGAAAATATGCAGACACTGTCAGATGGAATACCACATGCTTTTGGCATTATTACTAAAAAATATGCCACTCTGAGATTTTTCTTGGATAACTTCAACTGTCTTATACTGTATACAGCAGTGTTCATCCAACAGTATATTATTATTATTATACAGTATTTATAAAGCGCCAATAGTTCGCTCAGCGCTGTACATTACAAAGGGGGACAGAACATGTGACAGAACAATACCAATACAATGCAAAACATGAGGGGATTGAGGGCCCTGCTCTTTCGAGCTTACAATCTAGGAGGGAGGGGATGGTGGCACAGGAGGAGATAGCTGTGGGGGATGGAGTGGTAGGAAGAGTGGAGGAGGTCGGCAAGTTAGCAGGGGGTGGGGTAGGCTTCCCTGAAGAGATGGGTTTTCAGGGTGCACCTGGTGGTAATCTGATGGGTTGGGGCAGGGAGTTCCAGAGGATGGGTGACACCCTGGAGAAGTCCTGGAGGTGGGCATGGGAGGAGGAGACCAGGGAACTAGAGAGAAGTAAGTCTTGTGTGAGGAGCGGAGTGTGCGTTCTGGGCGGTACTTGGATATTAGGTCAGTGATGTAGTTCGAGGCAGTATGGTGGACAGCTTTGTACGTCAGTGTTAGGATTTTGAATTTGATCCGTTGCACAATCGGAAGCCAGTGGAGGGATTGGCAGAGGGGGGTGGCGGAAATGGAGCGGTTGGAAAGGTGAATGAGTCTGGCAGCCGTATTCAGGATCGACTGATATATAGACAGTATATAGTTAAAGCTGCAGCAAACTCTGTCACTTTTTTTCTACAGTTAAGCTTATAATAAATCTTACCTGTAAAGAAAAACAAATCTCCTAAACCTGCACCATTTAGGGGGTATTCACATGTTTTTATGCCAGTGACGTCACCAGAGCATACACACTCTGCTCTGAATTGAGGACACACTGAATGTGCCATCAATACAGAGCTGTGCCATGACCGTGACTCCCATGCGTATGCGCTGGAGGGACGTCATCATGACTGAGCCATTCAAAAGTTTGGAGACCGTGATCCTGGAAGGAAGACTGGGTAAAGATGGAAGCTCTGACATCGGTGACAACGCATAGCTGGAGGGATCAGTTTTACAGGAAGGTCTTTCAAAATGTGCTAGTCTGCAATGCATACTAACACATTATGCCTTTAACTTGCGGGTGGGGGGGGAGTTTTTTTTGTAGTTTCAGGACTTAAAGCAATTCTAAAGGTTATTTTTTATTTTTTGGAAAATAACAAACATGGTATACTTACCTACTGTGTGCAGTGGTTTTGCACAGATAAGCCTGGATCCTCCTTTTCTCAGGTCCCCCGTAGGCTCTCCTGGCCCCTTGCTCCTGTTGGGTCCCCCCACAGCAAGCAGCTTGCTGAGAGCACTGCTGCACACAGAAGGTCTTTTACATTCATGCATAGAATGCATTAAGGTAAAAAACCTTGAGCCTTTACAACCACTTTAATTATGGCTTCAAGATAAAGCTATCCCAGAGAAAATACAGAGTAACCGTGAAGCAACAGTGTCACTAGACCAGGGTCCCCAGCAAGGCGCCTGGATCTAGCAACATCTATGGTTGTGATGAGGACAGGACTTAATTTAAAAAAAAAAATTGTAAAGAGAGGGAAAGAAAAGTAAAATGAAAGTATACTGTAAATATTTGGTTGGTGGATATTTTGAAAAATGTGTGAACTTGGGATTAAACTATTTTTAACTTTTACACAAAACAGCAAAATGTTGAATTTTGTAACTATTATTTAGTATCGTTACCTTGTGTTTTTATAGTTTTCTCAAAGTACCCATGATGCCCAGAAAATTTTCAGCTTTTGAATGCTGATGTGTAGGAAAAGTAAATACATGGATGCTTGAATTGTATGGGCATTGCACAGCTGTACATACATAAATACATGGCTATAGATAAGGTCCCCATGGCAATGACCAAAATTCAGACCCACAAACAAATCAGATAATGGTTACTAATGAATGCTATTTACAGAGTTTATTATTGCAATCCCTGACCTACAATATCAGGCTTTTCTGGAACTTGGAGTTGCACTTTGATACATGCATTTTGCTCTCAGCATCTCAAGGGGTATAATAACTGAATTTTCTAAAAGGATGATTTATCCCTGTCTAGTTATGTAAGGCGTATAGTTTATAGCAATGATTTTTTTATTTTGTGTATGATCAATCATAAATGTCATGAATGTCTCATAATTTTTTGAACCTCTGTCTTCTTTATAATAAGTATGGGGGTATACAACCTAGGTGAGGTACTGGCAGTAATTTACCACCCTGGTTAGAATTCTTTAAACTGATATTTGAATGAAGCATAACAGAAATGGAGCACAGGTGGAGGTAAACTGCTTGTCTACAAACATTTTTATATATGTCATTCAAAAACCCATTGCGGCTTTTCTTCATCCTTTTCTATTTTCAGACTAACAGCTTTTCTATTACTATAGTGTCTTCTGAGAAATGACCAGAAATGGGTTATTTAAAGCAGCTCTCTACTTTTAAATGATAGCTTCTGCTATAGACCCATTCCTTGTGAAGTGTTTTCTTCCTAAATACTTCTAGTAATATATTGTACCTCTTTCTTCCTGCTCTTTAGAGTGGTATTACAGACTAAGCACTTGCACAGGCAAGCCCCACATTTGTACACTAAAGTGGTTGTAAACCATAGATATGAAATAAAAACAAAGCATATCCCTCTATAGTGTGTATCAATTAAGAGCAGTAAGTGTCATTTCTGTCTGCTGCTTTGTTCCACAACTATCAGCATGAATCACTTCTGACAAGTTTTCCTGACACCAAAAGAAAATTGGTGACAGGGGAGGGACCTCCAGCAGACTGGCAGCCTCAGCTCTGTTCCCTTTCCTCCAATCAGGTCTCAGAGCTCTCCTCACTGAGCTCTGCAGTGTGTAATTTGAGTCGTTTGCCCCGTTTTTTGTGAACTTTCAGAGGAGCGTAATAAATTCAGCACTTTTAATAGATGTAGAGAAGAGAAGACAGCTGACAAACAGGTACAACGTATGTAGGAGAATTTGTTTCATCTCTATGTATCACATAGGGCCAGTCACTTATATCTAACAATTTACAACCACTTTAAAGGATGTTCACCTTTTGCTAAAAAATAATAAATGCACATTTTTTTTCCAGGTACAAAAATGTGAATTTATTATTTTTTGTTGTAGGAGCCTGTAAACCATTGTAAACCATTATACCAGCAATCAGCAGATTGCTGGTGCCATGAAGAATCAATGAACTACCAGGGTGCTACTGTGCTTCCTCAAGAACAACAATATGACAGCCGCTAAGGCTGTCTGGACTTGTAGTTTCTCATTCACATTCACAGAGGACTGAGTTTTTAAAAAATTTTGACAGCTAGCAGGAGGAGATGTTACCACTCTAGCTGTCAAAGCAGGGGAGCGGGGGCCAGTCTATTCATAACATGTTACTTCCTAAATATGGGTGTAACTTATTATGAAATGTGAACTTATCCTTTAAGCCATTGAACTTCCCATACTATTTAATGTTGCAAAAGGTCCTTACTCTCCCATTCAGATATAATTACACTGATAGAGCACCTTTATACCTAAATAGACAGAAGCTGCAGTACAACTAATACTTCCTTTTATTGCCATGCAAGCAGACATTACTTATTAACATTCACTGCCTGGTTATACTACTAAACAACTCATTGGTACGTATTTAGTGTTCAAGTTCTCTACTCAGGCATTTCCCAGAAACCCAGTTATTTCTCTACTGGGCACTACCATCTTGCCCCTCTCATAGCATATAGAAGATGGAGCCATGTTGTCAATCACAATCCACTATTCATTGACTTCGCCCCTTCATATTACAGCCTTGTATAACCTCTTGCTGCCTAGATTAAGGGGCATAAAATAATGATTTGCATGGCTTTGCCCACTGTCCTGGATGAGGGATAAACCCATTATCTTTTGGGAGAGAAGCAATTATGTTTAAATAACTTCTGGTTGAAAAGGTTTTTATTCTGCATCATGTTTGTGGAGAGCTGGACCCCAGCTTATTTATTACAGGTATTTAGATAGCACTGACAATTTACGCAAATACACTATATTGTCAAAAGTATATGGACGCCTGCTTTTACACGCACATGAACCCTATGCAGCTATGACAGCTTCAACTCTTTTGGGAAGGCTGTCCACAAGGTTTAGGAGTGTGTCTATGGGAATGTTTTGACCATTCTTCCAGAAGCACATTTGGGAGGTCAGGCACTGATGTCGGACGAGAATACCTGGCTCACAGTCTCTGCTCTAATTCATCCCAAAGGTGTTTTATCGGGTTGAGGTCATTACTCTGTGCAGGCCAGTCAAGTTCCTCCACTACGACTTACTCATCCATGTCTTTATGGACCTTGCTTTGTGCACTGGTCATGTCATGTTGGAACAGAAAGGGGTCATCCCCAAACTGTTGCCACAAATCTGGGAGCATGAAATTGTCCAAAAAGTCTAAGCCCAACCCCTGAAAAACAACCCCTCTCCATAATCCCCCCTTCACCAAACTTTTCACTTGGCACAATGCAGTCAGGCAAGTACCGTTCTCCTGGCAACTGCCAAACCCAGACACATCCATTGGATTGCCAGACAGAGAAGCATCATTCGTTACTCCAGAGAACATATCTCCACTACTCTAGAGTCCAGTGGGGGCAAGCTTTACACCACTGCATGCAAAGCTTTGCTTTGCTTTGCACTTTGTTATGTAAGGCTTGGATGCAGCTGCTGGGCCATGGAAATCCATTCCATGAAGCTCTCTATGCACTGATGTTGTGCTAACCTGAAGGCCACACACAGTTTGGAGGTCTTTAGCTATTGACTCTGCAGACAGTTGGCGACTTCTGCACACTGTGTGCTTCAGCATGCACTGACCCCGCTCTGTCATTTTATGTGGCGATACCACTTCATGGCTGATTTGCTGTTGCTTCCACTTTATTATAACACCAACAGTTGACCGTGGAATATTTAGTAGCAAGGAAATGTCACGGGTGGACTTCTTACACAGGTGGCAACCTATCACGGTATCACTCTTGAATTCACTGAGCTCCTGAGAGCGACTCATTCTTTTACAAATGTTTGTAGGAGCAGTCTGCATGCCTAGGTAAAATTTTAAATTAAAACTTGTGAGCTGCTGAACTTCTTATTTTGTGCCAAATACAATTACTAATTAATGGATCGCCTGCACCTAACACATACTCATACCAATGTGTCTAATCAATTATAAATGCCAAATATATATACGTGCTCAAATAAACAATATGTGCAATAATTAAATAAATACACTATAAAAAACAAAAGCCTTCATATATATAGCAAACAGAGATGTCCATATATAATTCTTCAGAAATTTGTGTTTGCTTGAAATGTGTAAATTCAGTGATTCTTAATTCACCTCTTATGTGAATATGATTTTAAGTGCGTGTACCCCCACTGGTTGTGCTCTCACCTCAAATATATGACCAAACCGTTAAGTGAGCATATAACGCCTGTGTCCCTTTAATTGGGCCAAATGTGGATGGGATGGTATCCTGCTCAATGGGATCCTTTTCACTTCATCAATAGGCTCTCCTCCCACAGTAGATATGTTAAAAGAGTAACCAGATCATAGTGATTTATCCTTAAACAACCATTTGTTAATAGAAAGTAATACACTCATATGATGACTGTATAGAAAGCGCTTTGTACAAAAAATATTCTCCTGAATTTTGGCAGTAGTGAAATCCTATGTGTAACCAGTTTGTCAGCAAAAGCGACGGCGCACGGGTCTGCGCAGGCGCAGAACGCCAATGTGCCCTAATCAGCAGGCACTAGGACCTGGACACCCGCGACGGCAACAGCGCTCGCACATGCGCACTCACGATCGCGGACATGCACTTGGCACCAATGACAGTGCAGGCCGCGCTATTTAAACAAGCTCTGCACAGACACTAGTTGCCGTATGGTCTATTTACCCTGTTCCTGTGTATCTGCTGATTAATTTGTTGCCGACCTTGCTGATCCTGACCTTTGCTGACTATCTCCTGCTCTGACCCCTGGCTCGTTTGACTACTCTCCTGGATATCCCTATTGATCTGAACTCCTGTTACTGAACCCGGCGAGTGACCTGACCACTGTTTGCCTGCTGCATTGTACCGCGCTGTCCCCACTGTTACCGACCCAGCCTATCTGACCACGCTTGCTACTCTGCCATCCATCCGTCCTGCATGGATTCGGTCACCACTGCTCAGGCCTTCCCACCTCTTCACGTCAGGCTCTCTACCAGTATATATCTCTGGCGGATCCCTCTACCACCGACGGGTGTACTCAGGGGCCGTGACCTGGTTACTGTCTGCTCCAAGTCCATCCCCACCATCAGGGGCCCTGGTGAACAAGCAGACTGGGGTTTAGACTCCGTGCTTTGGGGAATCCTGTCCTGTGGATTGCTAGAGGTACCGCCAGGCGGTGTCTGACACAGCTGGTGTCAGTATGGAACCATCGAGCGTTGTGAAGTCAAAGCCCCTCCAAAGTGTTACGCAACTGGTCATGTGGCTTCATCAGGGGGAATGATTGAATTAAGAAGCACTGAATTTACACATTTCAAGTGAACACAAATTTTGGAAGAATTATATATGGATATCTCTGTTTGCTATATATATATATGGACACTTTTGCTTTTTATAGTGTATTTACTACATACCTAGGTGCTTGATTTTGTACACCTGTGGCCATGGAGGTGATTGGAACACCGGAATCCAATGATTTTTAGGGGTGTCCCAATACTTTTGGCAATATAGCGTATATTGTACAATCAAATCAGTCCCTTCCCTCAAAAAAGCTTGCAGTCTAAGATTCCTAACTCACATTCATACACATACTAGAGCAAATTTAGACAGGAAGCAATTAAACTACCAACATGTCTTTGGACTGTGAGAGAAAACTCACACAGGCACAGGGAGAACATGCAAACTCCACAGAGATAGTGCTGAGGTTTGGATTCAAACCAACAACGCTAATACTGCCAGGTGGAAGCACTAAGCCACTGTGCTGAAGAGTAGTCCTCCTTTCTTGACTAAAGGCAGCTCTCTAGAAGCCAGTTGGCTTCTAGATTTGTAATTAAATAATTTATATGCCAACTTAAATAATAATTTTATTTTTGTGATAATCATTTATTTATAGCTGCAGATACCACAGTTTCATCATCAAGTGAACAGCAATGATAATCTCAGTACTAAAAACAATTAAAATCTTTCTTATAGGTTCATAAATAAAAGCAAATTAATAAGCAGCTACCAAGCACCAGCATTTAAAAGCTAAATGATTTTTGCAGTGTCAAAATTAATTTAATATACGTTAATAAGTGCTTAACGAAGTATGAGTGACCTTTATCTTCCCTTCAACACAGATCAGATTAAAGTAATCAGTTATATCTTAAAAGTGTCATTCTACTAATTTGCTGCTGTTAATGAGTGGCACATCATTTTCAGATATGGGGGATCTTAAGGTAGCATTTCATGGTTTTCTCATCTTATGTTATGTTTAGTAGATTGTTCAAATGTTTTATTCAACAAGCGCACTGGAAGAGTTATCAAACCATTACCCCAGTTAACCCCAAATAATGGACAGAATCTTCTTATGTTAGTTTTTTCACCACAAATGCTAATGCATGTATTCCTTTTATGTTAAAAAAACAATAACTTTTGTAAAAAAAATAGACAGTTTATTTAAGTTAAATAGGAAAATTATATTGTTTTTGTTAAAAAGTACAAATGAGAGAATTTTTCTACATTTTGTCATACCTGCCTTTAGGGCCCCCGAGCATCACAATATTCAACTGTTATCCTTCAACCACTTGTTCTATCTATGAGTCAGGAAATTCCTTTTTGAGGTTTTAGGAAAAATAGGTACAATGGAGATAGGAGAAGAACATCAGAGGAACATTATGGCAACACATATTCCTAGTTAGGCTCTGGATGCGGTACATCTTTTCTCTTTGTGCTTCTTTATTATGTTTTGCTAACTATATTGAAATCATTGTGTCGAGTGGAGCCTAGCTTTAAATGTTCTATTCCCAGCAATGGGTTTTGTAACAAAATTTTTTTTAAATGATAAAAAACAAAAGGAGGAAAGAGCAACCTAAGTGCAGTATTAAAATATGATTTATTGGCAAGTGGTCATAACAACTTTTAGGATAAAAGAAGGTACCCGCTCATCATAAAGAAAAACACCAGCGTTTGCCTCATTCGGCAGGACCTGTCAGTGGACTACTCTCACTGTAGATGTCAGATGGAAGCCGGAACACCGGGTAGATACCAAGAAGTCACCAGGGCCAGCATGGAGCACTCATGTGAAGGATGGGACTTCACACGAAGGAAGGATCGGTGTGAAGTGACAGGCTACACGCTCGGAGTTTACTTCTCCTTCTGCAGGCCTAGATTGATATTGTTCTGACCTTCTATATATACTAATCAGTGGCTGGAGGACTACAGAAAATGGCGGTGTTTTTTTCTTCATAAGGAGCGAGTACCTTCTTTTATCCTGTAAGTTGTTGTGACCACTTGCCAATAAATCCTATTTTAATACTGCACTTAGGTTGTACTTCCTACCGCTTGTTTTTTATTTTTGCATACAGAGCTGGAATACTCTGGGGAAAGATGTGGTTGGTGCTTATTTTAGCTAACGGACTATACTGGACTCTTATATTGTCATTTTTAACTGCAGAAGCATTAGTTATCCATCTTGTGCACCACAGCCCCTTCACATTTACCAGTTTTTTAAATGATAAGTTGTCCCTTCCTAGGCAGATTCTAGTAAATGTGACCATACAGAATTGGTTATGATCTCATGTTGTCCATCCCTTGTGTCTAAACCCAAAAACAAAAATGCAACATATTTAACACACTATGGGGTTGATTTCCTAAAGGCAAATAGACTTTGTACTTTGTAAGTGCAGTTGCACTCTGCAAGAGCAGTTGCTCCAGAGCTTAGTAAATGAGCAGAAACTTTGCTAACTTCCATCATCCAGTCATATGCATTTTTTTTCCTTGCACATGATTGGGTATTCTTTGCAAAGTGAAGCTTTACTTCATTTACTAAGCTCTAGAGCAACTGCGTTTTTCCTTTATTAAATCAACCCCAATGTTTGATAGCAGTAGAACCTTGTGCACCTTTTCACATACTACTCATAATCCTCCAAAGCAGAACTCCAGCCAAAACTACCAAAATAAAATTAATATTCCATTAAAATTTAAAACCAGATATTGCTGTAGTATTCAGCTTCAATCCGAGATGACCCCGCAGTATTTTTTTTCTGCTGCTAGATGTCCTCTTTGTCTGATTCCAGGTATTCCTGTCTATGACTGGACAGTGAAAAGAGAAGCAGCACGGTGATGAGCTCATTTCTCTATCCCTCTGCTTCTCCTTCTATCTTGTCAGCACATGAACTGGTTGGCTCCCTGAACTGCCTTTACTCTCTAACTCCAGACCTGCTGTACAGGGATTGCAAGTGCATAATACCAAGTCAAGTTGGGCATTTACAGCGCATGCACTTATAAAATACTGTACATTTATTGCTGTATTAATAAATACAATGCTGCATTAACATGTGTCTTTATATCTGCATGGAGCTCGGCTGTAAAGAACTGGGTGGACCTGCTGGGTCCCTTCTACATCATATACTCTCTGTATAGGCTATGTGCAGCACAGTGATGATGTTGCTACTACTTTTACATTGTATTATATGCATTTGAAAAGGCATTTAGTACAAACTAAGTGGATCTATATCCTCTTTGGCTAATGAGGAATACATTTATTGTGTCGAAGAGACACTTAGGGCTCATGTACACTGCAGCTGATAAGCTCACGTTTAGGAGCTGTTCACCGTTTTTTTCCAGCAGCCCCTAAACTCACCCTAATATTTTCCTATGTGTCCATGTACACATCTTCGTTTACAGTCGTTTACAGGCGTTTGAGTTTACAGTAATTTTTTTGATAGCAGAAAACTTGCACTCAGCAGTCGATTTTATCAGCGTTTCAAAAGCAAAACGCTTGTAAATGTGGCAAATGACATTTATAAGCGTTTGCGTTTGAAATTTTTTTTCTAACTCCAGTTCCCGATGCCGTCCAGAGCCTTTTTTCATCATGAAAAATGCACGTAAAGCGTTTTCAAGGTACTCAGATGGACACTGAACACAGGATGTTCCTACCAAGTTTGTCACACATTATAATGACCAATTCACACCTCAGATCTCTCTTATTCTTGTTAATGCCCATTCACACCTCAAATTCCTCATGAAGACCCCCTGTCGGTTGGCATTAATGACTCACTCCACCAGACACCTTTCCATCCTTGGAAACAATGAAATGTTAATGAGCAACTCACACCTAAGCTAATCTCAACACATACAGTGGGGCAAAAAAGTATTTAGTCAGCCACCAATTGTGCAAGTTCTCCCACTTAAAAAGATGAGAGAGGCCTGTAATTGGCATCATAGGTAGACCTCAACTATGAGAGACAAAATGAGAAAAAAAAATCCAGACAATCACATTGGCTGATTTGGAAAGAATTTATTTGCAAATTATGGTGGAAAATAAGTATTTGGTCACCTACAAACAAGCAAGATTTCTGGCTCTCACAGACCTGTACCTTCTTCTTTAAGAGGCTCCTCTGTCCTGCACTCATTACCTGTATCAATGGCACCTGTTTGAACTTGTTATCAGTATAAAAGATACCTGTCCACAACTTCAAACAGTCACACTCCAAACTCCACTATGGTGAAGACCAAAGAGCTGTCGAAGGACACCAGAACAAAATTGTAGACCTGCACCATGCTGGGAAGACTGAATCTGCAATAGGCAAGCAGCTTGGTGTGAACAAATCAACTGTGGGAGCAATAATTAGAAAATGGAAGACATACAAGACCACTGATAATCTCCCTCGATCTGGGGCTCCACGCAAGATCTCACCCCGTGGGGTCAAAATGATCCCTAGAACGGTGAGCAAAAATCTCAGGATCACACGGGGGGACCTAGTGAATGACCTGTAGAGAGCTGGGACCAATGTAACAAAGGCTACCATCAGTAACACACTACTCCGCCAGGGACTCAGATCCTGCAGTGCCAGATGTGTCCTCCTGCTTAAGCCAGTACATGTCCGGGCCCATCTGAAGTTTGCTAGAGAGCATTTGGATGATCCAGAAGAGGATTGGGAGAATGTCATATGGTCGGATGAAACCAAAATAGAACTGTTTGGTAGAAACACAACCCGTCGTGTTTGGAGGAGAGAGAATGCTGAGTTGCATCCAAAGAACACCATACCTACTGTGAGGCATGGGAGTGGCAACATCATGCTTTGGGGCTGTTTCTCCGCAAAGGGACAAGGACGACTGTTCCATGTACAGGACAGAATGAATGGGGCCATGTATCGTGAGATTTTGAGTGCAAACCTCCTTCCATCAGGAATGGCATTGAAGATGAAACATGGCTGGGTCTTCCAACATGACAATGATCCCAAACATACCGCTCGGGCAATGAAGGAGTGGCTTCGTAAGAAGCATTTCAAGGTCCTGGAGTGGCCTAGCCAGTCTCCAGATCTCAACCCCATAGAAAACCTTTGGAGGGAGTTGAAAGTCCGTGTTGCCCAGCGACAGCCCCAAAACATCACTGCTCTAGAGGAGATCTGCATGGAGCAATGGGCCAACATACCAGCAACAGTGTGTGCCAACCTTGTGAAGACTTACAGGAAATGTTTGACCTCTGTCATTGCCAACAAAG